TTTCTCTGGAAATTTTCTCCTTTTTGCATTTTTACATTTCCCCCCCCCTTCGTTTTTTTTTTTAAATAAACAAAGAACAGGATTGGGCCCAAGAAAACAACAACAAGAAAAAGTAAAGTCTTCTATTTTTTTCTCTTTTAAAACAATCACTTCTGTTTTTAGCATTCCTGCTAAGTGGGTAATAAATTAGAAGAAAAGTTTCTAGTTTAAAAGGTTTCTTTAAATAATGAGAATTAAACAAGGTAGATATTGTATCCTGTGTTTATTACTGTCTTTTTGTGGTTTGATCTACTACAGATGAATTAATATTTACTAAGTGAATACCTCTGAATTTTAACTCTATAATAAATTTTAAAACTTTCTTTAAAAATGGCAAAGAGGGTCTTTTAGTCTGGCCAATTAGTCTGGCCTTTTCATTAGATTTCGTAGCACAGTGGTTAGAATGCAATATTGCAGGCTAATTCTGTCCACAGCTTGGAGTTCAATCCGAATGGGTTCAAGATTGACTCAGGCTTCCATCCTTCCAAGGTTGGTAAAATGAGGACCCAGATTTTTGGGGGAAATAGGCTAACATTGGTAACTACCCAGAGAGTGCTGTGAAGCCCTATGGGGCGGTAATAAGTCTACAGTAAGTGCTATTGCTATTGCTGTTTGATTGAAAAAATTGCAGAAATCAGAAGGTTTTTGATCATGGCTGGAGCAGTACAACAAATTAATTCAATTCCCACTGTGAGCTGTTAGATTGATTATTACAGAACACCAAAAAATTAAAACATAGCATTCTATTGATCTGTGGCATTTAAAAAATATGGGAAATTGCATTGGCTTAATAATAATAATACAACAATAAAGAATTTTGAAAAACCTTACAATTAATTTTTTTCACATATTTTGAATAGATTTTATGAATCTATGTTAAATTTTTAAGAGTCATTTTCAATTGATTAGCTTCTTGCTTTTCTAGGTAGAAATACTGAATATGGAAATGGATTTATTAGAAATATATGAAACAATTTTCTCTGAAATAGAACCACTAACACTCAAGAACTTGCTGATGAAATTGATTATCCCACTACTTATGCCAGGATCAAATTGCTCCTCACATATTCAGTTGTCTCTCATCCATCAATGGAGGGTTAAAATTTGCAAAGCCAAAAGAATTACTGAATATCTGAACCACCCTTGAATGTCTGCAAAACACAATGATATAGTGCAGGAGGAGGGAACCTTAGCTGTTTTATGACTTGTGAACTTCAATACCCAGAATTCCTGAACCTGCCATGCTGACTCAGGAATTCTGGGAGTTGAAGTCAACAAGTCATAAAAGAGCCAAGGTTCCTTACCCTTGGTATAGTGCATGATTAAACTAATAGTATTGATTCTATCTAATATCTTTTGAATCAAATCATTCCTTCAAAGCTTTCTACACATATTTTGTATGCATGTATATGTATACACAAATTGTATACCAGGTGTTGTAAATGGAAAAGATAAGGAAAAACTATGTCTTCTTCATCAACTTTTCTATTGCTTTATTGTTACATATTAGCTTGTATGACAATTTTGCTTGCATATTTTTGCTTTTAGCCAGCAAGATTCCTAGCACATTATGGCACATACAAATATTCCTTAGCAGAGGAGACCACATTTTTACTGAAATGAGTCTTCAGTGCTTAAAGATATGTTTATATATTGTAAGTTTTAGGTAAAAAAAGATGTACATAACAAACAATCCTCCCCAAAGCAGAAGTTCTAATGACCCATCTTGCTATTGGTCATACAGAATTGCTGCAGCTCTGTGTGCATAACGTAGCCATATAATACAGATGGAGACAGTTGTGTGGGTTTTTCCCCCAGAACTGATTAATGCTCTGGCTTCCTCTCTCTTGGCAATCAGGACAGTGTCTCAACTCACTGGCATAGTCACATGTTGTCACACACATTGCTATATATGAAGCAACTTAATGTGTTTGTCCATCTAATTATGCAGATGCTGTTCTTTATTTTGCAGGAAAAAACAGATTTCTAGATATTTTCCTCCTATGCCATCTTGTTTAGTTCAATTGAAGGGGCATGTGTTTAAAATTGATCTTTACCTTAAATTAGGCTCTAGTGAAGAAGAATCTCAGCAATGCATTCTAAGCCTCCGTTTACTCCATGTACCTTTCTGATTATTTTTACTAATTGACCGAGTTATCCTAGATCAGAGGTAGGCAACCTTGGCTCTTTTATGACTCGTGGACTTCAACTCCCAGAATTCCTGAGCCAGCATGGCTGGCTCAGGAATTCTGGCAGTTGAAGTCCACGAGTCATAAAAGAGTCAAAGTTGCCTACCCCTGTCCTAGATCATTGATTGTGAACCTTTCAGGCTTGGTGTGTCAAAAATTTGGAGAGTGCATAACTTGACTGTTGGCATGTCACATATCCCCGAATAAAGAAAAATAATCTCTACCTCCCCCTATTCTCTCTCAGTGCTGAGCTGAACCTAAATATAAAGCCCACTCCTCAACACCAGCTCTGGCATCACCACTGCTATTCAAAAAGGCCATGAACCTTGGGGAACAGTGCCATTGCCCTGTGGCCCATTGTGTACCTTCAAGTGATGTTCTCTTTCTGCTGACAGAATTTCCGTCATCTCAGTCAAATTTCAAAATGTTTTTTTGCTGGAATCATAGTAGTTATATGCCTGTTAGTGATTAACTTTAGCTCATGTTATATTAGCATTCATATTCAAATAAAGTGAGCTGTTGAACTGAGAACTGAGAAAAAAGTAAATGAAGAAAACATAATTACAACTGCAAATGGATTTTACTAACTGTCCTGTGTACTTTCTGTGTGGCTTACTGAGGTATAAGATACATATGTGTATCAGCAGAATGTATACATGCACATAAAAATCAATAGCCTTTGTAATAAAAGTCTACTTTTATTTCAGTATTATTTATATTAGATAACCTTAAGAATACTACCAGAATTCTGTTGTACTATTTGATTTCCTTTCTGGATGGGTCTTGAATAGTTTTTAACTTAACTTATAAAAAGCAAGGAACAGAAAAAGAATGAAGCTAAAATGGGGGCCAGTGTTGACAATTACCTCTCAACCTGATTATCTGAAATAATTTATTTAATATAAAATAATATAAAAGTTCCCTCATAACCTTGACCTCAACAACTGCTTTGTTTCTCCAATATTCTAACCCTACCCTCCCAAGCTTCCTGTGGTCCAAGGGATTCTTCCTCTCTCATCCAGGTGAACGTCAATCCAGCATCCACCCAGCATCATTAGTAACTTGCCCTGCTGATTTGTTTGTATGCATCTGGAAAGTCAACTATATCGTGTGGTTTCCCCAAATGATGCTCTAAGGATTATGGGTACTGTATCATATAATTCCCTATTCTCTATGTGTGAGTGTTCACACGTTGTGTGTACGACCGTATGCGTGTTCTCATGAAAGCAGAAGTACTTTCTTCCATTGCATCCTCTAGTTTTATAAATGAGCCAATGAAATTTAGATCTGATCTTTTCTGTTTTTTGTGTAATGAGTCTGATGCTTTTTTTCTGAAATGAGTCTGTATTTAAATACATCTAACTCAGTTATGTGTCTAACTTAAGCTCTAGTGCCCTAAGACAGACAGAGAGGCAGACATGCAATTGTCCTCTTCTAGGCATGTGCATGAAAAAGAGGTTTGACTGTAGCAGTATAACTGGAAGCCGCACAGAGTTCAATGTAGGATGGGCAGCTATTTAAATGGTTTAAATAAATAAACAAACTGATCTTGTGAACTTTGTACCTGATCAGATGAAGGCAGGTCAAGATATGCAAAAAAGCATATGTTATGAGAACTGCATAAATAATATGGACTGGGAATGGTCAGAAATAAAGAAAATAAATTAATAGGAATAAATTTCAGTCCACAGTATGCATGCTTCCTATCTTTTTAGATCACCCTCATCACATGTGCATCTGCTTCTCTCTGGATCACACCCTAAATTCATCTTTTTCCCCCCTAAATAACAACAACAACATATATTTACATGCACATCCATTGACAGAAATGCAACACACATACGTGCTGTTATCTTTCACATAAATGCCCTTCTCTTCACCAGCTTCTTCCTCAGCCCTCTGGGTGCACTGCCCAGATTCGGCCATAGTTGCTTCCCCACAAGCTGACCAAGAAAGATAGGAAAAAGGTTTTGTTTTAATTAAAACTTTAGTGGTAAGACCATGATTAATGGTCCTTATTTTCTCACGCCTAGAAATATTTTAGGGAAAATATGGTGGCAAGCTGCTGCAATCCAGTTTTTCTTTAAAATTACATACAGATAGTCCTCAACTTATAACAGTTCATTTAGTGACTGTTTAAAGTTACAACAGCACTGGAAAAAGTGACTTATGACTGTTTTTCACACTGGCGGCCTCTCCCGTGATTACGTGATCAAAATTCAGACGTTTGGCAATTGGTTCTTATTTATGACGATCGCAGTGTTCCCGGAGGGGTGTGTGTCATGTGATCCCCTTTCGCGACCTTCTGACAAGCTAAATCAATGGGGGAAGCCAGATTCACTTAACAACTGTGTTACTAGCTTAACAACTGCATTGATTCACTGAACAACTGTGGCAAGAAAGGTCGTAAAATGGGGCAAAGCTCACTTAACAAATGTCTCACTTAGCAACAGAAATCTTGGGCTCAATTGTGGTCGTAAGTTGAGGAGTTCCTGTACACGCAGTTGAATATTTAATAGTGCTGGATAATGAAGGAAATATTGAGGAGCCCAGCTTTTGTCCACAGCAATATCAGTGCATTCAGTAATAGGATATTTCATTTTAACATTTTAATTTCTGTTTGGTTTTTCAGACCAAAGCACTGCCATGAAGGGTACAAGTCAACCTTCCCTCTTCTGGATACGTCACCATAATTTAGCCAAGGGCCATGAATCATGACACCATCTTATTTATTAAAATGCCTTGAAGTCTCTTTCTCTCTCTGCTGAAGTGATGGTTTTTCCTGCAACGCTGACACCAGCTCATCCTGTGTCATTAAATGCAACTTTTATTGTCTATGAACATGCACATGCCAATATTACCACTCCGTTGATCTTGGTCCATAAGGGCACAGCTCAGCTCCTGAAATACCATTTGGGTGCCATGGTTACTACTGAGATAGCTCCTTTGACAATCAATAGTACACCTGCCCTCCTGTTACAAGGCTTCACAAGCTTGAATCTACCACTCCAGATCATTCTTTCTGCTGCCATGATATTTATTTTCCTTATTTCTTTTGTTGGTAATCTTGTCGTCTGCCTTATGGTCTATCAGAAGACTGCAATGCGATCTGCAATTAACATTCTTCTAGCTAGCTTGGCTTTTGCAGACATGCTGCTAGCTGTGCTGAACATGCCTTTTGCTCTGATAACCATCATCACTACGCAGTGGATTTTTGGGGATGTCTTCTGCAGAGTCTCCGCCATGTTCTTCTGGCTGTTTGTCATCGAAGGAGTTGCCATACTACTCATCATCAGCATTGACAGATTCCTTATAATAGTTCAAAGACAGGACAAGCTGAATCCTCGCCGAGCAAAAGTCCTCATCGCTGCTTCATGGCTCGTGGCCTTTGTTGTGGCTTTTCCACTCTCTGTGGGGAACCCCAGCTTACAAATACCTTCCAAAGCACCTCAGTGTGTATTTGGCTACACAACAGACCCTGGTTACCGCGCCTATGTAGTGGTGGTGGTTTTGGTCTCCTTTTTCATTCCATTCCTCGTAATGTTATATTCTTTTATGGGCATCCTCAATACTGTACGGCACAACGCGGTTCGTATCCATAGCCACCCGGATAGCATATGCCTCAGTCAAGCTAGCAAGCTTGGTCTCATGAGCCTCCAGAGACCCTTTCAGATGAATATTGATATGAGCTTTAAAACTCGTGCCTTCACCACCATATTGATTTTGTTCATTGTCTTCATAATTTGCTGGGCCCCCTTCACCGCCTACAGCCTTATTGCTACATTTAACAGCCACTTTTATCACAAGCACAACTTTTTTGAGATAAGCACCTGGCTCCTTTGGCTCTGCTACCTCAAGTCTGCTCTGAACCCACTCATCTACTACTGGAGAATCAAGAAATTTCATGATGCGTGTTTAGACTTAGTGCCCAAGTACTTCAAGTTTTTGCCACAGCTACCTGGTCAAGCTAGAAGACGTATCCGACCTAGTGCCGTATATGTGTGCGGGGAGCACCGGTCAGTAGTGTAAGCCTCGTGGCAAATGGACACTTATTCTTTTCTGATGTATGCCTGTTTTAGTGGGGTTTTTTAAATGGCTTCTTTAGCTGTCAGATTTATAATTTTTAGAATTCACATTCAACTTGAAGAAGGAGATATTTCTTGGGCTTTTCTACCAGAATGTAACTATATTATATTGTTGACCACCTACTAAAGAAGTTCTGTATACATGGGGAAGGAATTGTGTGTACAGGGCAAAGCTTTCTTTTGCAATGACTTTTGCTGCTGAAAGAGATCAATTGAAATGCCATTTTTCTCTTCCACAGACAGGAGCTGCAAAATGCAAGCTTCAAAGAATCCCTGTACCATTTGCACATTTATTCCCTCCATGTATATGTAGCTCTTTATGGATTGTTTGCCACTGCCTCCCTGGTTCTGTGGTAGAAAGGAAAACGCATTTTGGATGTACGTCAGGTGATCTTAAAACACTGCTAACATTTCGTTTCATTGTAGATGTTGTTAATGCTGCTATTTTATGGTACATTTAGATGAATACTTAATAGGCTTTTTTTTCTTCAAACAATGTTGCTGCATAGATGAGCCAAAATGTTTGCATTTAATTAATTATTTGCAAGAGTTGCAGTAACATTAAGGGAAAAAACCACATTCATGCACTTTAAACAGAACTGGGTGGAGGGGAGTGAGTGGGGGGGGGGTGAAGAAAGATTTGGTAACCTTTTACATTTTTGTTTCTTTCTGTGAGGTTCTTAATTCTTCCACCAGCTTCGCAGTGTTTCAGAATGATGCTATAACATACTTTGTTTTCAGAACTATTTTATAGTCCTTTTTGAGTTTACTTGAACGTCAGAAGTATGTAGTGCAAATTTATTTAGATGAAGACACTTAAGTAACACTTATTACAATCCAGAAGAATTAAAGTGCTTTAAATCCTTCTAAAGCCAAAAGGAATTAAACTGAATTCCAGTTATTTAAAACACATGAGATTTGTCTTTGATTATTATTTCAATGGGATATACATGATTATTCATATTCAATGTCATGACTTTAACCCCACAAAAGAATAACTGCATTGCATTAAACTGATGCAATGCAGTTATTATAACTGATAATTGCATTAAAACATATAGTTGTTAATTATATGTAAGCATACCATGAAAATATGAATTACCTTTGAATATCAAACTCTCATTGCTAACTGTGTTGAATCAATTAGAAGAGAGACTTGACATTTAGTTATATAATGTTCAAATATATTTTTTAATTTATAAATTGAAGCCACACACAGTACAGTATACAATTCTTTTGACAAGTTTTTTTTTAAAAAAAGATTTTTGACTAAACTGGGAAAATAAAATTTTCCACATTTTCTCTCCCCATACTTACAAATGGATATGCTATCTTGCTTGAATTATGAAAATGATTTTATTTTTCCTTTTTCTTTTTCTTTTCCTGTCAAGACAAACTATATTACGAGGTTGCATGACCAGCTATGTCTCTCTTGTAATATCTTGAAATTATGTTCCCTTTTAAGAAAAGCTGAAAAAAAAGAGTAAACATTTTTCTCAGGAGTATTTATCTTAATCTATTAAATACATTTGACCAATGTACATATGTTAAAGCTTGAGTCAGTTCTGCTATATTTGCACTTTTCTAAAAACACCCTGTTGTCATTCCTTTACATAACCAAAATAACGACTTCCAGCTGAAAGAATCTCTTAATTTAAATCCTGCTTTTAAAAAGTTGTATTAGGGCAGAAAACGTCAGGGTCAGAAATAGATTTGTTCATTCAGAACTGCTGGTTCATGTGACCTAACTTTATAGCACACTAGATTTAAAAGACAACCTAGTTTCTTACCCAGCTTGGTGAATTACCATGGCTGTCAGCAACCAGGAACATTGTTTTGTCTTTCCAAGGAAAGCATTTCTTGAATACCTTAAACACATGACAAAAATTCCCAGGGTGGAAGGAATGCGGGTGGGAACACACCAATGGGCCTTACTCTTCATGTTTGTATTACTCCCTCTCCTCTCATATCCATAATCTGACTTCTGAGTTCTACATATATATTCTACATAGAGAATTTTGACGTCCTTTATGCATAAGCTTCCTGGCTTTTAATCCTAGATCCATTGTATGGGCAATTAGTTGGTAGGTTTAAACCAGGGGTAGGCAACCTCGGCTCTTTTATGACTCATGGACTTCAACTCCCAGAATTCCTGAGTCAGCATAGCTGACTCAGGAATTCTGGGAGTTGAAGTCCATGAGTCATAAAAGAGCCGAGGTTGCCAACCCCTGGTCTAAACAGTTCAGACAGCATGATTCGGTTGTCCTTACAGCTATGGACCCTCTTCATGTAAATAATGCATACAAAGGAAATAGTTGCGAGAATGAGATAATGCATTGTTTAAACATCATCAGGAACAACTTCAGATAAAATTATATTTAGAACTGTGGGCATTCTTGCGTTTCTGGAAATTAAAAACTTTGGAAGACATAAGCAAAAATAACCTTACTATTAATATTTCAACTGTATAGAAATTGGGATATTTCTATAGAGGTGGGATAATTGGGGCGTTCATCTGTTTGACTCCTGCATCATGTTAGTTGGCCATCCTTTTCATTATAGGGTTACTTTAGAAGCGCTTTTAGCAGTAGATCAATAAAATGTTCATACCCAGAAATGTTTGGAACAGCTTATTCTTTAAACTATGGAAACACTCTTATCCTTAAATGGTGGCCAACAGTATGCTCTGCTATAAATGGGTACTTCTCTTACCTTATAACAGTGGTGGCGAACCTATGGCACGGGTGCCAGAGGCGGCACTCAGAGCCCTTTCTGTGGGCACGCACGCCGTCGCCCCAGTCCTAGGCCTTCAGCTGGGTTTTATAAAACCTTTTCGCTTTAGGCCTCCGCCGCCATGTGCAAAAAAAAAAAAAGTTCAATCAGTCAATTTCAACTTCTCGCGGGAAAAAAAAGATCTTGCAAAGTTGGAATTGATTGATTGAATTTTTTAGTCCCACCCAGTCTGCCGTTACCACCGTAGCCACCCCCACCCAATTGGCCACACCCAACCAATGGGCTACACCCAGCCAGCACTGGACGATGCATAAGTGGGTTTTGGGTTGCAGTTTGGGCACTCAGTCTCTAAAAGGTTCGCCATCACTGCCTTATAACAAAATGAAAAAGATTGGTTATAATAGTTAGCTGACTTTAAACAACTGTGTAGACCTAAAAGGACCATATTGACTTGAAAATAAATCCCACTGCAGTGTGTCTCATTCCTAGATAAGTGTGCCAATGGTGCAGCTCTCTGAATAGTAAACAGTTCTGGATTCTTTGGACGATCAGAGTTGTGTGGCTCACACGTCTGGATTTCTCTAATGCAAATATGCCTATTGAGAAAATTTCGCTTTTAATAGCTTGAAAGTGAGGAAATGTTTGTTCCTATTAGCATGTCAAAATCAGAAGAACGGAGGCAAAATTTCCAAATTTCGCCCCAATACCTCATAATCGGTTCCCTCTGTTGCTTCTAGTCTTCGTTCTTCCCATTTTGTCATTGGAATGGCCAAATATAAAGCATCCAAGAACTACTGTTGTCAAGAAACATTTAACAGAGAAGGAAATGTAATCATGTATATTGTTTACATTTTAAATCATTTCAGCTTACACTATATTGCCATTGGCTCTTTTAATATACTGTTGTTGTGGAACAGTGCCTTTTCGTTTGATACTGATTTCTATATCCTCCTAAACTTGAAAATCCTTCACTTCAGCTGGTAATCAGCCTCTTCATATATGGGTCCATATGCTCTTCTACTGAGATTACACTGATGGTTAAAAGAAAATGCATATAGGCAAAGCTTTCAGAAGGCAACAATACCTTAAAATATATCTCAAATGATTTTATTAAAACATTCTATCTGGGTAAAAACATTATTTTGTTTCTCCTTTTAAAAATATACTTTTGCTCAAACTCAGAAACAAAAGGCAGGGTGCTGAAGTAAGCTATATCTTATTTCATATATGTAGTTATTTAAGCAGATTTGTCAAACAGTCACATTTGATATAAAAATCTGTTGCTAAAAGGAGTTTCATGAGAGATGTTTTATACTCTTTAAAGGGATGATTTATTTTATGGAAGCATTTATGTTTGTATACTGAATAACAGTAATGTCCTCTCCCTTCAGTGTGGTATTTTTATAAGATTGTTTTTAATGAGCTTTATATAAGTTGCTGTCAGTTTAGTTCTCTTTCTCTCATGCCATTATGCAACATTATCCTTGTAAACAATTGTATTCATTTATTTTTGCCATATAAAAACAAAGCGCCACAACGTGCTGTGGTTGCAAAAGAAAAAGTGATGACTTCCTTAACTCATTTCTTTCTAGAGTTATTAGCCATTGATGAAATGTTTCTTTTCTTAAAAACAGACCTCAGTTTTTAAATTTTAAAGTTAAACCTGACCTATATGTAATATAGATATATATATATATCCATGGAAATAATTACAGTAAACAATTATTAAGACAAACTGTTTTTCTGTAGCAGTTTATAGGGAAATGGCTATTATTAACTAGCTAGACTTATTCTTAGAACAATCAATTAAAATCTTCTAAAATTAGTTTTGGTGTATTAGTTGAATAATCACAATTTTAAAGTCTCTTCATATGAAAATGAATGCTCAGACCTGAGAGTTTTTTTGTAGACCTTCAAAAATAACAGTTAAAAGCTTCAGATAAGATCACATTATATCAGATGGGTGGAAAAAATAATAGAGAATGTTAGCGCATAAAGCACAGGTATCAAAACTTGATCGCATCACATGACGTACTGCGACGTTTTTTGCCTTTGTGGAGCCACAGTGGGCGTGGCCTGCATGTGATGCATCCGGCACAAGGGCCGCCAGTTGACACCCCTGGCATAAAGGATTTTTGATAAAGGCAGCAAGATATTTAAAAGAACAATGACTCATTCCAGTTTTCATTTCTAATGTGAATTTCTGGGCAAATAATTGCACAGAAAATGTCTTGTTTACACTAGGCTGACAATGTGGAGTTGTCCACAATTGAGCACTGTCTAAAAGAGGGGCATGCAACTTTTTCTTGATTGAGGGCCCTGTGTGGTCTTTGAGAGATGTGGTATACAGAGACTGCATTCCAAGAAGCAG